ACTGAACTTCCAACGACTCAAAATTTTATATATTTGTTTTTTGTAAATTTTTTTTTGGAAACAGGTTTCTCTAGATTTTCCTACATATTTTTAATTTGCAGAAAATTTTATAAGAAATATTCGGGTAAATTTTTTAAAAAATTTTAAGAAAATATTCTTGCACAAGCATACACACGTACACACACAAGTAAATTTTCTTTAGAATTTTTAAAAAATTATATATATTTATATCATATAAATTCCTTTTTATTTAATTTGATATATATATGTAAAATTTAAAATATATTGATTTAAATATTAATTTAACCTATATATATAATATGTAATATAATAACTTAAAGAAAATATAAAAATGTTTGTCATTGAGTTTGTGCAGAAAGTATTATTTTTAAAAGACTTAAATTGATTGGTTATTCATAATTGTGTAAAATAATTTTTTTTCGTATTAAAGACTTGATCAATAGAGAAACTTGATCCCAAATTTTCAATATAATTTTCGAAAAAGAAATGTTATATATATCTTCCAGAAAGAGAGACTTAAAAAAATATCCCTTGACCATTTCAAAAAGAAGAGTTAAATATAATTAAATATTTTATTATATATATTTAACAATTCCAACGAAGAGTTGACTATTTTTTTTAGATTGAAATGTCGACATTGCTCATTGAGGGAGTCATAGCTGTCCTTTTTGTCAAACGTATTAGCTTACGCACCAGTCACGACACAAGTAACATCAATCAACCACAACTACTGTACTAGTCAAAAGTCAAGTATTCATTAGGTTACAAAATTTCTAGTTCCATATGATTATGGCATGAAACCATTCCAACCACAACAAGTGTTCCTTTCAATCACGAGAACGTTCCACAACCAAAATACCAAATGAAAAAATAATTAGTACTTAAAAGATAATTCAACCTTGGCAATGCGATCACATATATACAATTGACCACAACTTACCCCAAGAAGCAACCATCTCCCAATATTCTGGATCACACGATGGTCCACACTGCATACTATAATTCTACCTTAATATAACAAATGTTAAAAAATAGGCACGAAAGGATTAATGAGCTAACATAGTTTTACTGTTAATTAATTGATTAGAAGACACTGTAGGAACTATACAAAATGTTTATTTAGATATTTTTTTAAAAATATTTCAAGGAGAAAAAATAGAAAAAAAATTCTCAATAAATTAAATTATTTTATAAATAAATAAATAAAAGAAATTTTGGAAAAGTTAATAAAAAAATAACTTTTACAAATTAATTTTTATACAAAATCAATGCTTCAAGTTTAGGGTTTATATGAAATTAAAATTTAAGTAAAGGAAGTTAATTGCAATTGAGAATGAAAATAGACAAAACTTTAAATAAGAATTTATGACTTGATTTATTTAAAATTTAATTTAATTTTTACCTGTTTAATAAAAAAGTTATATTTAGATTTTTAAAAAAATTTATTTATTTTAACATACTATATTTAGATTTATAAAAAAGATTGATAAGCCTAATTAGTCAACCTACTTAACTAAATAATATAATAAAAATTAATATAAATATTGAATTATTAAAAATATTAGGGTAAGAATCCAACATTTACCTGCAAACGAGAAATGCAAATCATTGAATTGAGAGAAAAAAGATTTGAGAAGACGCCAATGAATTTGATAAAGTCATGTTTATATCTCTTAAAGTAACTTTATCCAAAAGTGTAAACCCAATGAATTCAATGTTATGAACCCATGCAATTAGGAGAGAAATTCATCTTAATAAGTTGATTGATTTAATTTGTGGCTAACCTTTGCATTCATTGATGACATAGAAATGGGCGTTGACCTAGGAGTTAGGTAGCTATAACCTAGTTAAAGTTTTGTAACGAAGGTTATGACTTTTAAGGAAACTAACGCACAATATCCTACAAGTGACCAATGGTCGTGTTAAAGATGAAAAATAAATATATTGTACTTGCAAGTATTTGTAATTAAAATATGTAACGAATCATAAATGAATAATTTAAATGAATATTCATGTGAAATGAGTATAAATATTTTTCTATCTATTTATAAAGGATAGGATATACATATGATAGATATTTGATAAATAAAATTATTTAAATATTTATATTTATATTTTATATTTTTATATTATTTTTAATATTAAAAAAATAAAATTAATATTAATTATTTATTTTTAATATTTTAATATAATTAACATCAAATACAAGTTTAAAATTACTAGTAACATTTTCTTTTAAATTTTTCAGTTTAAAAAAATTAAAAATATTAATAAATATCCATAAATAACAAGTATTTATAAAATTTACAAATATTTGCTTAATAAATATCCATGCGCATATAAAATAAATACGAGATAATTTTATATTTGTCGGAATATGGACAAATAACCTACTAGGTGCCCCCACATGTCCCATTGTCATCATAGTCAATGTGTTCCCATGTTGTGGTCAACGCAGATAACGCATTGACAATCTTGATGACCCAATATGATTATGCCACGATAAGTGTAGTGTACAGTTGCATGGTTAGTAATCAATTGAGTGGGGTTCCTTTTGTTGGATAAATATTTTTATCGGTACTTAAACTTTGAATTAAAAACAATCTTTTTAGTTGGTTTGTATTTTGATTTTTGATTTTTATTTGACCAAGTCATTTTTATTTTCCAATTGTAGTTTTATTTATTGTTGGCTGCAGAACTAGGAGTTTTTAAGATTCATATTTACTCGATCTTTGGTGGCCACACATTGCCACTGCGAGTGTTACACTTACTGGTACCCTTCGAGACCTTGACTGGATTAAGATTATTCTTTCAAATTATTTTTAATAAATTCAAGACTCGAACTTGAGATTTTTTAACTTAAGAACCAATAGTAGTACCAGTTAAACCAACGAATGTTGATTGATCTATATATATAAATATATATATATATATATATATATATATATATATATATATATATATATAACATTTCTACACTATTTTAAAAGTTTAACATTTTTTGTTCATATGAATTTAAGAAATAGAAAATAGAAATTTTAATAGTCACATTTTTACCTATTCTTATCCTTCTTCTTCATAATTGGTTATTAAAAATATTTCAAATGGAATATAAGAAAAATTTAAAAAGTTTAATTTATGAATAAAATTGCTCTCTTTTATAACAATATGTGCATGAGTGTACCTAGTGTACATGGATGTGAGTTGTCCTCTTGTGCTAATTTTTTATTTTTCTTTTAAAATTTAATTTTTTTTTGAATCGGCCAAATAAGATTATATTGTGGCATTAGGGGTGCCATATTTACAAGGTATTGGTTAGAGGTAATTTAGATTAACTACCCAAATTACTTACTAACCAAACAAAAGTGCTTGATATTGGAAACCCATCGTGGGTTATGAGCCCGTACGATGTCAGCACAAAATCTTACAATCCTACCAAAAAGTAAATTTGGCCCAACATTGCAAAGCAAAACAATGAATCCCGAATCCACTCTTAAGATAAGAGTGGTTGCCATCCGCTCTCATTTGTGTTTCACGGGTCAGTTAATGCCCCTGTATAGAATCCTTTTTTTTTCACTCAACAACTTAGATTATTATTACCTCTTGTGTTGCCCTTGAAGTCCCCTTGTAAGTCTTTCCATCATTATCCTTCATCTTCCGTAATGCATAACCCTAGTGTTGTCTCCCATTGCACATAGTTGATTGGAAAATCTTTATCCATTTTTAGCCATGACCAAGTTGTAAATATGATTTTCTGCTCCAATTGTTGTATATTTATTCCCTGCCCTTTGAAAATATTATTGTTTCTTGTCATCCAAATATTGTAGACAACTGCCATCCACATTATTTTCCATCTTAATGTTTGCTTATTTTTGTAGTTGTGTCTTGGAAGTTGTTGGAAGTGTTGAATTACAGTTGTTGGTAATACCGTATTGAAATTGGCCCAGTTGTAACATAATTTCTAGACCTGATCAACCTTATGACAGTGAAAAAATAAGTGCATTGTTGTTTCTGTTACCTCAAGACAGAACCTGCAACTTTCCTCATTCTGAGCTATTTATATGTTCCTCTTTTTCAAGTTATCTATAGTTGGTAGGCCCTCAAAGTACATTCTCCATGTTAGTATTTTTGCCTTAGGGGGATTTTAAGTGACCACATCTCTTTTAGGAAAGGCACCTCTTCTGACCCAACTTTTCAAGATAGTAATTCACCATAGGTGGACTTCACAGTATATGCTTGAGTGTTCCCTGGCAACCATTTCCAATAGTCCTTTTTGTGACTATCAAATTGTAACCCTTGTAGTTCCTTTATAGATCCTCCCACTGATCAGAGCCCTTCCCTAACTAATTTCTTCTCCACCTGAAGTCCCAGTTCCACTCCCCATCATTCTAATGGTTTTTTTTAGTAGAATTCAAATAGATTCTAGGATAGATTGCTGCCAGTGGTTCCTAGTCCAACCATGGGTCTTCCCAAAATAGAGTCTTTTGACCATCCATAACATTCCATTAGTATAATCTTTCAAACCATTGTTCCTCATCTTTATTTTCACATACTGTTCTTAAGTCCTTCCACTAGTATGATTGGAAGTTATTATCCTCTCCACGCGTTAAGTCCTTCCACCTTCGTATTTAGATTCCAGTATGTCTCCCCATAGGGTTTCTTTGTTGTGGAACATACTCCAACGCCATTTCTCCAATAGTGCCTTGTTGAATAGAGTGATGTGCTTTATTCAAATTTAAATTTTAATAATAATGAAATAAAATATTTTTTATTACACAAATTAAAAAAGGACTTGCATGTGTATTTTGAAAATATTAAGATTTGTTGACTTATTTAAAATTAAGTTTAATAGTTTGTTAATGTAAAATGACTTTTTCAAATAAATTAATAATAGATCAAAGTTTTAAAAAGGTCAGCTCATGTCTATAAAAAGTTTATAATACATAATAGGTCAAAATTAAGCTTTAATTTTATAGAACATGTTTGACCTGTATATTAAAAGTCTAATCTAACCTAACTTATTCTCATCCTATTGACAATGATTGACACCTCTCACTTTTAATGTGTAATTCTAGCTACAATCATGCAAAATTCCCTAAATAAAGAAACAACGGTAGACCCATGTTGAAGTGAAGGAGAAAAATGTCTCTCAGATTTCAAAGTATTTCTCTCTAACTTTTCTCAAAGGTTTCTAAAGATATGAACTTATGAAGTTCATGTCTTAAGAAAAATCTTATATACTCTCACTACAACAAATGTGCTAAATAATGGAGGTTATTTCTGTGTTTAGTGGAGGTTTTTACCCTCCGCAAAATAAATTGCAGAGATTTTCAAAAACCTCCGCAATTACATTCGCCACAAGAAATTAGCGGGGTTTTTAAAAACCTCCGGTATCAATAGTATTTTGCGGAGGTTTTTTATGTAGAGGTTTTGACCCCACTGTAGAACAGGAAAAACATGTAACTAAATACTGAAATTAATCCCAGATTGTCCTATGAATCATGAAAGAACAATTCTTTACACCTCTCAGCCCATTTTTCAACTTGCTCAAAACACCCATCATGTATTATTAGTCAATATTCAATCTACACCAAAACCAAACCGAAATCATCAAATTCGAAAGTTTGGAACACAAATTAATTACAATCATGCCTAAGATAAAAATACAAAAAATCAATTCAAAGCACAACTTTTCAATCTACACCAAAACCAAACTGAAATCCACGCCAGCGGCTCCGGCAAGTCCACGCTCATCGACGCACTCGCGGGGCGCATCTCCAAAGACAGCCAGAAAGGGTCCCTCACGCTGAACGGCGACGCTCTCGAGTCCAGCCTCCTCAAAGTCATCTCCATGCTCACCGTCGAAGAAACCCTCACCTTCGCCGCTGAGTTCCACCTCTCCCGCTCCCTCTCCATGTCCAAGAAAAAAGCCCGCGTCCACGCCCTCATCGACCAGCTTGGCCTCCGCTTCGCTGCCTCCACCGTCATCGGTGACGAAGGCCACCGCGACGTCTCCGGCGGCGAACGGCGCCGCGTCTCCATCGGCATCGTGACTCGCACAGGACCAAGAAGAAGAAGAAATCTCCAACCAAACACACCCCTACCCCCACCCCCACCCCCACCAAATGGAAATCCCACGCGCAGCAGCACCTCTACTCCACCAAGCTCCACCAGGCCCTCCGCAGAGTCAACATCTCAGGCGACGCGCCCCGCCGAGGAAAGGTCGTCCGTGAGGCCGCCGACAGGGTGCTCGCCGTCGCCGCCCGGGGGAGGACTCGCTGGAGCCGCGCCATCTTGACCCACCGCCTCAAGCTCAAGTTCAGGAAACAGAGCCACAAGAGGCACAAAGTGGTTGGGCCAGCCCACCCCAAGAAGCCCCGCTTCGGCATCCTCCGCCTCAAGGCCAAAACCCTCCCCGCCGTCCAACGAAAAGTCAGGTTCTTGAGTCGCTTGGTCCCCGGTTGCCGGAAAGAACCGCTTCCCGTGATTCTCGAAGAAGCAATCGATTACATACTCGCGCTCGAGATGCAGGTTCGAGTCATGGCAGCTCTTGCTAACTTACTCTTAGGCTCTTCCTCCTCCGCCGCCGCCACTACCGCTGCATCCAGAGAATCGCTCAGAGCGGAAGCATCTTAAGCCTCTTGGACCGCTTGCTCTTCCTCTCCCATGGCAACACTGTCTTCAGCGGTTCTCTGGCAATGAAAGGGTTTTGGGTGTGGTTGGAGGTTGACGGCGTTGAAAGGGAAGTGTGTCTTTTAGTGTTTAGAATGGCAGATTTTAATAATTAAAAGTAGAAATTAAAATAATATTTTAATTAGAGGAGGTTATAAACCTCTACAAATTCAACAAAAAAAATGGCAGATTTTAATAATTTAAGGAGGGTTTTAAAACCTCCGCAAAATAACCTCTACTATTTTTTTTTTTTTTGTAGTGTCTTATCAATTTGAACCAAACTAAAACTACCTCTCTCAAGGGTCCCTTAATTCTTAGATATCTAAAATAACAACAAATACAATAATTCAATAATTAGTTCCATATAATCTATAATTAATTAATAAGACTAAATCACATAGTGTTATAATCATGTCATTGTTCAAGTGAATCACATCGTCGATGAACCTCAACCTCTAGCTAGGAGACCTATGTCTCTTCAAAACTCAATAGGACATATAGGTGTCACTTTTAGGTCTAGACAACCACAGGGTGACAAAAGAATGTTATGGTTCCTCAAAGCTAGTGAAGAATCTTCTACTAGTGGAGTTCTTTGTTCCAACCATAGAAAGACTTTCTAGAAAGTAGTAGAAATGTCGAGTTTCGCTCTTGTATAGTGATAGGAAAAGCCTATCATGGCAATAACACATCAGGATCATGGTTATTAATCTCGAGTGATAACTAGTAATAATTACTTAGTTTACGAGATTGGTAAGTCCCACTTGCACAACTCGAGAGTAAACTTGTTTTTGAGTAATCTCAATCAATTTCAAGCAATCTCATCAGTTGCTAAAAGCAAAAATTGGTATTTTTTTTAATTTTTTATTTTTTATTTTAAGAATTTGTGTCTTGTGCGAAATTTTGCATGATTTACAACTAAACATTGTTATTTTAATACTGTAATTTACTATTTTATTTTAATATGAAGTTGAAATATTGAGTTATTATATAATTTATAAGTATTATAACATATTTTTTATATTAAGTAAACTATTACGAGTTTACAATTCAAGTTTTTGGACTCTTAACAAGATTATATAAACTCTCAAGATTAACAACCTTGATCAGGATAATGAAGCAATGAAGACAATTAATGAAAACATCTTGAAAGATCAATTGGAAGAATGTCAAGTTCATCTATTGTAGTTGATTATGGAGTTTAATGATAAAAACGTGATAAATTATGTTCAGGCAACATATGTGCATCCTATAGTCCATTATATTGCATTTGGCTTAAGGTCTTCAAGGCTATTTCAAATTTCTTCTAGAGTGGCTGAACATCATCATCAGAAGAGCACGTAGAAAAATGCACAGGACACTTCAATGCCTTGGTGTTGATGATGGCACTTCCACCTCAAGTAAACTTCTTTTTTCATTTTTTTTTCTTTTTCAGTTATTCGGAGAAATGAGAGAAAACTATAGGTGTTATTCACCTCTCTTTGAAAGAGTTGGATAGGGCAAACGAGGAAGTTCGAGGAATACAATCTCACCTATCTGAGGATGTCATAACCAACCTAGCTATAGATTTTAATACTAACAAGGATGACAAGGTCGATTCTTGGTTGTTATTTTCTCCTAGCCATGATAGTCGCATTTGTTCACAAGGGCGTAAAGAAAACATAGAGTTATTCATACATTTCACACTCAATACAGGTAACACACAAAAATTAATTCAAATAGAAAGTTAGCTGTAAAAAATTCATTTCTATAGAGAGGTAAAAATCATACAAAATCCATTCCTATCAACAGTGAGAAGACAGAGTTATACAATGAAATTTAATACGAAGAATGATACCATAAAGTCTGTTTTCTAAACCCTAATATGGTATATTCACAAATCTCATTAGAACATTAATATAAATATATAATAGGATGCAAGATTTAATTAACTTTACAAGCATAAAATGATTTAATTAGACATTCAATCGTATAATTAAGAAAACAACTAGAATTCATACAAAGAATAATCATATATACATCAATTAGGCAGTTACAAGGAGGGGTGAAGGCATTCAAGGCTTTCCCTTAACCTAGAAGTGTAATGCCCAAGGATAATCTATGGCGTAAGATTTTTTTTTTCTTTCCTTTTCTCATCTCTTTCCTTCTTCCCTCGTTTTCCCATTCTTTTTAATTATAATTCAAGTGTCACGACTATGATGTATGTGGCTTAAATTTTATAAACCCACGTCCTCTTATTGGGCTTAGAGACATTAACTAAAAAAAAAATGTGTTGTTTGTCAGTCTTATTTTGTGTAAAATCGTTTTTTGTTTGCTTTGGTGCATCTGTTCAGAAAATAATATTTGAAGGTAGATAAAAAAAATTGTAAAGATAACCAAAAGTGATGAAAAAGAATACAGGTTGTTGTCATTGATTTAAAATGTCTTGAGATTGTGAGTGTTTACTTGTACCTTGGTCTTTTAAAATAAAGAGTTTGTGTCATGAAATTGCTTTTGCAAGTAGGTAACATCCAACTTGCACCGAAGAAAATAAAATTTGAAGAGTTACTAGTAATCTATATGGAACAATATTAATATATAAAAGAAAGTATGCACTTTAGTATATGCCATGAGGAAGATGATAAACTAAGGTGGTTTCATATTGTCTATATCTTTATATATAACTACTACGTAGGATTTCAAGAACTAGCATTGAATTTCTCATATTTGTAATGATCAGAGCTTATATATAGCATCTTTATTATAGAATTTTGTATTGTCAAAATATGTATAGAACTTATTCCCTTTTCATATAGCCATTTGCCACGTTTACATTTGATCTTGTAGATGGTTTTATTTTTTTAATCAACCAAAACAAGTATTTATATTAATTAGGTATAAGGGATATCATACACCCATATACATGAGATAACTAAAGGAACTGTATTACCCTTAGTTAAAACTAATTTGAATATGTGTAGAATCAAATTATGTTCCATCTAACCAGAGACTCCAAAACAAAAGATAACAGATAAACAAACAACACTCATACTCCATCTAACAACCCTCTAGTTGTAGTGGAACAAACACACAAAAGAGATACATGATCAGCCCCACTTCCTAATAGTTATCATAATAGTATATGGTCAGCCCTCCTAAATTAAAATCCACCACAAAAACTCACTCCATTATAATTGGCCAGCACCCAACAGCAGAATAAGATACCTCATTTTATAACAGCAAAAAAACAAGTCTTGCATCTCCTAGCCTTTGTCCTGCATAAAATCTGCATCACCTTCCCAGCTTGTTAATGTAGTTGGTTACTTCCATTACTCCTATCTCCCTTTATGTTGTATACCAACCAGAAATTTTAGAGTGACTATCCGTACACCAACACAAGCAACAGTAATATTAATTGACCCAAGAGACAAAATACCAAAGATTCTTCCTGATGTATATTTATTTAATCCACTACACACAATCAAAATTGTTGCATCAGAAAAACCCCACAATTTGAATGCTTTGTAGCAATTTCACCCACCAATAATTGCAAAGGCCAAGATTAATTGACCATAACTAGAAAAGGATCTGAAAATTGTTCTACTTTATACTCAGCCACATCCAAGCTGTGAGTATCCTTCATCAATTTTTGCTGAACAATCTGATTCTGCCAGAATACACATCAAATTCTCTGGTTCCAAATATTCCAAGCTATGATACACCATACCACCTGCCATCTTTGTGTTTTTCCTTTTGAGTCAAGGACAAATAGGATAAAATTGAAGTGCATTGATTGATCTTCTAGATGGTATTAAATAGTATATATGTTTTTTAATATTTTGGGTCAAACGTTAATAGTGTGTTTGGATGAAGAATTTTACAAATTCAAGGAATTTGAAATTCTTGGTATTTGAATTACTTTGATTTCAATTTTTATCATTCTCAAAATATTTTGTTTGGATAAGTCAATTCAATTTTTTTAAACTTTTAAATTGTTAATTTGGATATGATAATTTGATTCTATCATGATAAAATTGATTTTAAAAATATATTTATATGTTGAGATTTTTAAATAAAATTTTATAAAATTAAATATTAACCAATTTTTAAATATTTAATAATTTTAAAATTTAATATTATATAATATTTAATATTTTTTAAAGTATTTTTGAATATTCAATAATTAAAAATATGAAGATATAAGATAAAATATATAAGTGAAATAAGGAAAAAAAATATGAGGAATTTCAAATTCTTACCTTTTTGGGAGAATTTGAAATTCTACTATTTCAAAGAATTTTACAAATGCTTGGATTTCAAATTCTTTGTAAATTCTCCATCCAAACAAAGTATTTCACTTCAAAGAATTTGAAATTCTTCAAACAAATAAATTACTCCATTAAAATTCTCCATCCAAACATACTCTAAAGGTCCCGTTTAAGTCATCCAAGAGATGAAACATAGTAATTGGGATTATAGTCTTGCAAGTAATATTAATGATCTATGTAAGTGGAATAGGAACGAACCATAATCTTCAATATTTTAAGTTTATATTCATTAAGTTTATTATATCATATATAACTAATAAGCTTAACCAGCAAACATATCAAAATAAGTTAAAAATAAAAATTTAAAACATATCATAAACTAATGGTAATAATTAATTTTATGCATAAATTTTTACAAATGACTGCATATATTTAAATTCACTGTTTCCAATTAATCTTTCATGAGATTCATCGAGCTTCTAATACTGTAATTGTCACATCGTTGGTTGAACATGTGTCTTTATGGCTTGAGCTTGAATCTACTTCAACCGAATCATTTCTTGGAATGAAACCACATTCTTTAGGCTCCATCAATTCCATGCGACTCTCCAACATCAAAATAATGGATGCCATTGTAGGCCTATCTTTTGGGTATTGTTGCACACACAAAAGTCCAATATGGAGACAACGAAGTACTTCTGACATAATGCATGACTCCTTCATGTTTGAGTCAATCAAATCTAATGCTTTGCCCTCTTTCCAGGTTGTCCATACCTGTCTCATAATAATAAAAGATAATTATATTTATGTTTCAATTAGACATTCATAAATTAATTGTAAACATGCTCGAGCTCTTACATGACCAACAAGGTTCAGATTCTTATCTGTGTGATAAAGTCCTTTATTTTTCTTGCCACACACAATCTCCAATACTAAAATGCCAAAACTAAAGACATCAGATTTCACAGAAAATAACCCATCAAAAGCATACTCTGGCGCCATATACCCACTGCAAGAAATACATTTCATCAAGAACAATATTTGTGAAATAAAAGAATGGAGATGGTTAACCAGGCACTACTCACTATGTCCCAACTATTCTCCTTGTGTTTCCTTCAATTTGATCTCCTCCAAAAATTCTTGCTAATCCAAAATCTGATATTTTGGGGCTCAAATTTTCATCAAGCAAAACATTGCTTGCTTTGAGATCTCTATGGATAATCCTCAATCGAGAATCTTGATGAAGGTACATAAGTCCTCTTGCAATTCCACAAATTATATCTAAGCGTTGAGGCCACCCTAACAATTTACTTTTTGTATCATCTGTGTTATTAAAGCAAAAATATTATTTTAGTGATTTACTTATTTTACTAGTCATTCATAATCAAATTTACGCTTTGTTAATTTTCCATACCAAATATAAAGAAGTCTAGACTGCCATTTGCCATGTACTCATAAATTAACATTTTCTCTTGTCCTTGAATGGAGCATCCAAGAAGTTTTACAAGATTCCGATGCTGGAGTTTTGCAATCAATTTTACTTCATTAATGAACTCTGTTGCTCCCTGCCATGAGCTTTTTGATAGAGTCTTTACAGCTATTTCTTGCCCATCCATTAATACTCCCTACATATTTATGGTAAAGAGAAAACACTTTGAATTAATATTTAATTTCTTAGGTGGTAGTGCTCAAACAATGATTACCTTGTATACAGGTCCAAAACCACCTTCTCCAATCTTATTTTCCTTGGAGAAGTTATTAGTGGCTATTGTAATTGTTGTTAGATCAAATAATTGGATGTCAAGATCATCAACATCATTGTTATCTCCTATCAATGCATTTCCTACAAAATAAAGGAAAGTCATAAATAATGTTATGAAAATTTAAAGTGTGGAAGGAATTAAAAATTGTGAAAATTATAGAAGGAAAAACAAAATAATGATGTGGTCAATCTCCTTTGTTCAATATTAATTAGCAAGTTGTTAATTAAGCCCAAGAGTGTAACACCCCAGTTTTATTTCATTTTTTTTTATTTTATTAAATTGAGAGTATTTTGGTAAATTTTATAAATGTATAGAGGTGATTTAGTAGCTTGCAACGGGCTGTTCCGGAATTGGAACGGGCCGTTCCAAACTACCAAAATTTATGCGAATTCGTTGCCTAGAACGAGCCGTTCTCAAGTTGGAACGGGCCGTTCTGGACTATTAAAAACTGCCTTTAACTCTAAGTGGGAACGGGCTTGGAACAGGCTATGGCAGTTGTGAGTAATAAATGCAACCAGAACCGGCCGTTCTGGTTTGAGAACGGGCCGTTCTGGGTGTGATTTTTACCCATGATTCAAGGGTCCAGAACGGGCCGTTCCGGCGAAGCTGGATGCCTATAAATTGAGCTCTCTGCCACTCCCAAAAGGCACACCTCTCATTTTTTTATTTCTTTTCTTTTGCTCTCTCTTCTTTTCCCTCTACTTTCTGCTTTAGACCGAGGAGAACCCAGCGAGGGAGACCAACCAGATCTCGTATAAATTCAGCTTCTACATATCTAGGTACGGGAGAAAATGGAATTATTTATATGTAGAGTTACATGAGGGAATTGAGTAGAGGAAGAATCCCTTAGAATTATGAGCAATTTTATAATTATTTTTGTTTGGAGAATTATTGGTCTTATTGGATTCTGTATGAATTTAGGATTATGAATATATGATTTATTTGTAAAAATGATACTCTGGGAGAGAGAACGAAATTATAGAAAAGTGCCTGTAGGCTAGGTTTTGAAAAAATTGGAATATTTCTGTTTGAGAAATTTTGTATGGGAGTTAATAGCCTAGAACGAGCCGTTCTCAAGTTGGAACGAGCCGTTCCAGACTATTAAAAGCTGCCTTAAACTTTAAGTGGGAACGGGCTTGGAACGGGCTATGGCAGTTGAGTAATAAATGCACACCAGAACGGGCCGTTCTAGTTTGGGAACGGGCCGTTCTGGGTGTGATTTTTACCCACGATTTTGGGGTCCAGAACGAGCCGTTCTGAAATTGGAACGGGCCGTTCTGGCGAAGTCTGAGGCCTATAAATTGAGCTTTCTGCCACTCTGAAAAAGCACACCTCTCATTTTCTGATTTCTTTTCTTCTACTCTCTCTTCTTTTCTCTCTACTTTCTACTTTAGACCGAGGGGAACCCAGCGAGGGAGACCAACCAAATCTTGTGTAGGTTCAACTTCTACATATCCAGGTACGGGAGAAAAGGGGATTATTTATATGTAGAGTTACATGAGGGAATTGGGTAGAGGAAGAGCCCTTAGGATTATGAGTAATTTTATAATTATTTCTGTTTGGAGAATTATTGATCTTATGTGATTCTGAATGTATTTAGGACTATGAATATATGATTTATTTGTAAAAATGATGCTCTGGGAGAGAGAACGAAATTATAGAAAAGTGCCTGTAGGCTAGGTTTTGAAAAAATTGGAATATTTATGTTTGAGAAATTGATGACCCCATTAGATTCTGTATGTGTTGAGGATTAGAAATACATATTTAATTTGTAAGAATGATGATCTAAGAGGGAGAACGAAACTGTAGAAAAGTGTCTGTGAGTTAGGTTTTGGAATAATTGAGGGTTTTACTGTTTATGTTACACTACTAGAATTTCTCTTATTTCATGCGATTTTTCCTACGAATTTTTTTTGCAAGAAAATTTCCTTCAATTTTTTTTTTGCAAGAAACTTTCTTGCGAATTTTTTTCGCAAGAAATTTTGCAGGAAATTTCCCTGCGAATTTTAAAATTCGCAGGGAAATTTCCTGCAAAATTTCTTGCGAAAAAAATTCGCAAGAAAGTTTCTTGCAAAAAAAAAATTGAAGGAAATTTTCTTGCAAAAAAAATTCGTAGGAAAATTCGCAGGAAACTTTCCTGCGAATTTTTTTGCAAGAAATTCTGCAAGAATATTTTTTACGAAAAAATTAAAAAAAATACTATAAATTATATATTTTAAGAATTAATAATCTTTTATTTTCATGCCTCATACATAATCTTAAATTTTAAGATTGTAGATTATAAGTCTAACTCAACCATACAATTCAACTTGTAAGGTAAGTGTTGCCCCAACTTATATACTCTTTAATTGTTTTATTTTCAATCGATGTGGGACTTAGAGATTTTTTAAAATATTAAACTTATGAATTTAAATATTTTTTTTATTTTTCCTGCAAATTAAAATTTGCAGGAAAATCCGCAAGAAAAATTACCTGCAAAATTTTTCTACCATTTAGTAAACATTACTTGCGAATTTATTTTTGCAAGAAAATCTGCAAGAAACAAAATAAAATTCTTACAATATTTTTCTGCAAATTTTTACCATGAAATTTTTTTCCCATGATTATTAAAATTGTAACAAAATTTGTAAGAAATATCTGTAAATTATTTTTTGCAGGAAAATTGGCAAAAAATTTCTGTGAATATTTTTTTGTAGGAAAATTCGTAAAAAATTTCTGCGAATATTTTTTTGCAGGAAATTTTGCAAAAACTTTCTACGAATATTTTTTTGCAGGAAAATTTGCAAAAAAATGACACTTTTCTAGTAGTGTTAAAATTATATTAAATTGATAATTTTATTGATTATTATATTAATTTATAAATGTTATTACTATATTACTTGATAAAATTGATGACTTAGATATGAATTGCTTGAGATGTATGGAACCCATTATTTTGGACTTATCTGATGCGTGTATGGAATTGAACTATGAGATGTTGTGTGGAATGTGAATGAGATGTGATTGTGGTTCTTCACACCTATGACCAGGGGTGAGCACGACCCGAGATTGTGATGTGGGTATCGTGACCTTGGTTAACATGTCAGGGGTGAGCACGACCCTAGGTTAGGGGTAACGTGATCTTGGCACAGTGTTATATCAGGGGTGAGCACGGCCTTAGATTGTTATGTGGGTATCGTGACCTTGAATAACATGTCGGGGGTGAGCACGACCTTGGACTAGATATGCTACAGGGGAATCGTGACCTTGGCACAATGTTATATCAGGGGTGAGCACGGCCTTGAATTGTTAAATGGGTAGCGTGACCTTGGCATAGTGTGAAGTGCAAATTGGTGTGATTGAGAATTATGATGCGATGACGATGCATGGTTGATTGAATTACGTTATGTTGAAATATTTATGAATATTAAGTTAATATGTTGTGTTTTCTCATGTGCTATATATATAAATGTTTTCTTTTCTCACCGTACGATTTGTGGATGTTTTAGGTGAGGAAGATCCGGCTTGAGTGGCATCTAGGATGCCAATAGTTGAATTGTGGGTGTGCTCTGATATTGTGACATCGGGGCAGAGAATTCTAGGATATAGATTTTTATATGTATTTTGAGTTATACCTTGTCTTTTGAAAACAATTTGTAAACATTTAAATTTTACCTTCCAAGTTTTATTTCTAGTTATTTTGGATATTGAAGAAAGAACAGTTATGAAGTTTTTTTGTGAACCCTTTTACCAACGTTGATAATTTTATTTTTTAGTTTATTTATATGATTAATATTTATATATGAGTTGGGGTAGTAAGGGTGTCACAAAGAGTGTTTGTGTCTGTCTGTATCTATTTGTGCCTATGTGTACATGTGTGTTTGTGTGTAAATGTGAGTTTGTCTGTACGCGCGCGTGTGTTTACATGTCTGTATTTGTGTGTGTATATTTGTGTCTATGACTATGATTTAACATATTAAAAACCTTCTTATTTTGCACTTTGTTGTTAAATGATGATTAAATCATGTTAATCAATTTCCAATTGAAATATTATAGTACAACAGGTTTGTAAATAAATTAACTAGAAAAATAAAACTAAAATTGTTCACTCTAGATTTATAAAGCTAGTGCATCAAAAATTTTATAACATACCATAGACAGATAAAAAGGAAATAAAATAAATTCTATTAAAGGAAATAATTGCCTAATTAAACACTACATCTCATGATTTAAGGGATGAGAATTGAATGTCCTAATATTGTCATCATTCTCCCTTAAATCAAGGAATATAAATTCCTCGATTTTTGATAAACACATAACTACTTAACAATGATCAAATATTAGTATGAACTAAAAACAATAAAAACATATTTTATTTTGCATAACCAAATGTTTGTATTTACATTTTATTGTTCACTTACGGCTCTAGAAAGTTATGTATAGAATAGTCATTCAGTATAAATTTGTGGGTAAACAATTATTTACCATCATTGTTCCTCTGGATTCTGCAAATAAAATAAGTACTCAGAATAAGAACTCCACAAATTGCAGCAATGGTGGATGCAACTATTGTTGGCGTGTTCTTCTTGTGCCAATGTACAGGTTCTTGAGGGTTGGAATTGAAAAGAAAGAAAAAAAGGCTAAAGTTAGAGTGGTGTTGAGTTTTCAAATAGTTCCAATTGAGAAGATAAGATCAAAGTGGATGGTGTGGTTACCTAACTCTGAAGCATCCATCCTGATATATAGATCTTGGCCACCAGTTTCAAACTGTTTGATGTCAATGAGATCTCCAAACCACATGACACAACCACTACCTCCACCTCTAATATCTAAATTAGTAAAGGCCATGCAAGAACAATTATTCAAGCACTTGACTCTACATTCCTCTAGACCAATACTCTCATCCAACCAAGTACGTGTAGTGTCTGGAACTTTGAGGCCTTTAAATTTGACAAACCCCTCTGTGAGTTTGTCTTTGCAGCTTAATGGTTTATTGCGTACACATCCTTGACTCCACCCAGATGAAATCCATGCTTCTGGTGACTTTGGTCTGAAACCTTTCAAACATTGGCAGGCTTGGGATTGAGTACTGACGCAGTTCCCGTAGGGTCCACAGAGGCCATACGTGTCACAAAACTCCATCGGGAAGGATCTATAAGTCCTCCAATCTCCATCATCTTCCACCCATACATAGCGATAAAGTGAACCTGTTTGGTTTATCACAGTTCTAGTGATTAAAATATCATTTAAGACACTAAAGGTGTAGTAGACCATATCCTTGTTGCTGACAAAATTAATGCCAAAAATGGTGTTATTATGTAGATCTGGTATTCCACTAAAATATACTCCATTCCAAGGACCAAACCGGAACAATTTTTTTGCGCCCTTCATCGTATAAATCTCAGGATAATTATAGAGTTTTAAAACCCTATAAACATCTCCTTCTGATGGATCATCCGGACTCTTCCATGCAGTATATCTCCTTTCCAAACCGGTTTTGAGGTCCCATCCCAATTTCATCCCTGGCAAGAGTGTATCAGATGGATAATCAAAGCTTTGCCACAAGTACCCTTCTGGGTTTGTTTCGGCCTCATTTCTTATCACAAGATTGCCACTGTCCAAGAGCTCTACCACTGGATTCTGTGCTTGTTTGTGAGAGTTGGTGTACCAAACAAGAGACCCATTTTGAGTGAGAATAAGATTACCTGAGGAGTTCACTGTTAAGATGCCTGAGGAACCATTGATAGGGTTTGCCCTATTTGCAACCCAAACAACTGTCTGAGTTGAGACATTCTTGTACCAAATGCCAAGGTAACGTTGCTGGGAACTACCTGGGCTGAAAAAACCAAGTTCGAACTTTCCACCTTTTGACACCAAGGTCTTCCCATCACTCATGGACTGGATCACGTTGATAGAATCATTTGCTATGGAAATTTTGAGAGAGGGAGCAAGTATGCATGCAAACAAAATCATGAAAGGAAGAAAGTCCATTGAGTCACAGCTTTTGTGGTGCTCCGTTATTTGGATATTGATTATATGGATCGTGCTAAGTGTCTCATAAAGACTTTATATCTATATTGAAAATAAAATTTGTATTTGCATTATTATAAACTAATTAGATATTGATCTGCACACTAGTGGAACATTATTTCTGCCTCGGTTATTTTTAGATTATCCACCGACCCTTCAAACTTCAAAGCACGGGTGAACTATACTACCATTGATGTTGATAACTTTATAGCTAATGCTTTAGGTTTTGTATAATAAATAAACAAGTCTTATATTTTTTAATGTTTGATTGAAATTAAAATATTTTAAATAATACTGAAATTACTTTCTAGAAACAAGGACACTTTGATTGTTAAAAAAAACATGTAGTGTTCTCGTAAGATTATAAATACGGAATAGTTTATTCATAAAAAGAAGAAAAAAATTAAAATGTCTCATATTAATTATTTTTAGAGTCTTTTGCAAACATAATTTCCCGAGACTTTAATACGTGACTTGATCATGATGTTTTCTTTCTTTTATATTGACTGCATCATGTTTTCTTAATAAAGAGACTTTATCATACATTTAATATCAACTACAACATTAATTACTAGTCAATAATTCATCACACGGTTACATGTCAACCTACCATACCAGCCACGGCAAGCGCGCCTTTCGACTTACGGTTGGATATACTTCATATTAACTGAAAATAAACTGACTCGATATAAGCTAATTAACGAGTTAAGTCTCCTTATATTTTATTTAATAAAAATATTTAAAAAATTATAAATATTTGTAGGATTAATTGATATGGTGTTTAATCTTCAAATCTTAAGATTTTAAATTTCTATCTTGTATTTATAAAAGATAACTAATTATTATTATTATTTTTTATTATTTAAAATTAAAAAGGGTAAAATCATCTAAAATAAATAAATACACCAAATTATACTATCAACTTTATATATCTTATAGATTACAAATATTTGTTAGATCAACTGATATAATGCTTGATCTTCAAATTTTAAGATTTCAAGTTCGAGTTTTGTATTTGTAAAAGTAACTAATTTTTAATATATTTTTTATTATTTAAAAATTAAAGGGTAAAGTTATCTAAAAAATGTGTATACCAAATGAGACTATCACATTTCTATATGTTATAGATAAATATTAGGAGTGACTTACATCATTATAAGAATAGATATTCTAATGGAAATAACATTTCTAGGCTTATCAATCATATGTAACATACTCAATATTATTAAAAAGAAGAAGAATACATTAGTGTAGGAGGATAAAACCAAAACTCATGAAAAAAAATCATTGAATTTTAAAAGAAAGCAAACTAATACAATTACATAAAAAAAAAAAAAAAAAAAAAAAT